AATTGCTATCATAATGTCAGGATCTGTTAGCATCAAATTTTTGCTCCACTCTAATCACCAATCGCTCGTGTTTTTTTCACATTTAATATTCATTTTGGCCTTCTTCCCTTTGGCAATATTTACCAAATGGATGCCAAATAATTTGTAAATATACTTTGGTGTACATATAAAACTGGATGGCCTGATAGGCGTCAGCAGGTGCATAAAGGACAATGGCAACTCACGCACCTGTTCCGCTGCCTCGCAACTTTGGGCACTAGCACCTGAATTTTGCCTCGTACTACAAGCGGTCCGGATTCAATCTATAAATCCTACTAAATCCAATTTAACGCTATTCTAACTACCATTAATCGCTGCCTGTCTGCGCATGGAAAGACTTCGCCGGAGACGTGGACGGTTGTTGAGCACGGTCCGACCGAATTAGCCATCGCACATGCAGAAGTGAGGAGGAGTGAGACGCACATCAAAGGCTACTCACTCATACCGACTTGTTTGACCTCGGGGAGACTGGCTTGCTCAACTCACGATAAGGTGTTACGGTGTTTGTGCTCAGGTGGCTGTTGAGGCTATATTCGGGTCGTTTCCGCGGGCAGAACCTGAGGCAAACGAATGACGCCAAAGAGGGCATAGCGAGCACATCGGCGTGTCAATTTGGCGGGCAATAGAGAGGCGCAATGACAAAAGCTGGAGCCTGGACAAGTGTATGATGATTGTTGGGGGGACTTTCATTTCGTATGAAAGCGCATGAAGAAGAGATTCGTCGGTTGATCTGACCAGACGAGGACGGATGAATCTCGTTGTTGGGTCATTAGCCCTTGATGATCAGAGTCTGACATTAGTCTTTTGACAACTCTGATTTAGGACCGGTATTGCGTATAGATGCTAACACACACTCGAACAAAAGTAACAAGACCAATATGAAAGATAATTAGCCAAACCACTATATATCGATATGTCAAGGTTTTTAATTTTCTTTTGGCTTAATTGAGTCCATATAAGAAGTAAGATAAAGCCGGATAGTGTGCTTGGCCTAGTGTTAGCGTGAGACTCTTACAAGAAAGAAACCAAGCTCTGATGATGTTCATGATATGATGGACGAAAGCTCAGTCCGTTTTCACCCGAAACGAGGCAGGAAATCTCGTGGGCAGCGTCAACCTGAACAACGTATAACAGCCGAACGGCTGCAGTACAACGAGATTCTTCCGAAGAAAAGTTGGGTTTCGAGGAATTTCTTGTTTCATAAATGTTGAACTTACTTCGAGTTAGAGTGAAAGTGTTGAGTAAAGAGATTCGAAGGTCGGTTCCACCAGAAGACGACGGCGGACTCCTCTTGACCAGCTGTCGATTGGCTTTACTGGAAGATTCATGCTGACGCTGTTTCCGAGGCAATCTGCTTCGATTCCGGCTTTCGTCCGTCATATGACGAACATCATCAGAGCGAGGTAACATCGTCACAACAAAATTCAAGCTAACGAGTCAAGAAAACTGACCGACAAATCCATAAAAAGTGGTATATATACTCTACATCTGGCCTCTTATATCAAGTATAAAGTGATTTGGTTAGTTAAGGTCATGTGTCATCTTCGATGCATGTGAGTGTGTCTGTCTCTGTATTTGTATGTGCATGTTTATGTTCGCTCATATCTCCTCATCTCAATCATACTTGCCTACGAACTTACCCAGTTTCGGTCAGGGCTTTCTTTGAGGTCATTGATAATCAGAGCCTAACTTTAACCTTTTGATAACTCTGATTTAGGACCGGTATTGCGTATATACACAAACACACACACATACATACACTTGAGCAAAAGTAGCAGGACAAGTATGAAAGATAATTAGCCAAACCACTCTATATGCATCTAGGTTTTTAATTTTTGATTTTCTTTTGGCGTAACTGAGTCTATAGAAGAGATAAGATAAAGCCGGATAGTAGTCTTGGCCTAGTGTTAATGAAAGCATTTTACACGAATGACATCCAGCTCTGATGAGGTGCATCATATGATGGACGAAAGCTCAACACGTTTTCACCCGAAACGAGGGAGGAAGTCCGGTGGACTGCGTCAACATGAAAATCGTATAAAATCCAAAAGGCTGCAGTACTTGTTGGGCTTACTTCCATTTCGAGTAGAAGTGTTGGGTGAAGAGATTCGAAGGTCTGTTCCACCAGAAGACGACGGCGAATTCCAATTGACCAGCTGTCGGTTGACTTTACTGGAAGATTCATGCTGACGCTGTTGCCGAGGCAATCTCCTTCGATTCAT